CTCACAAACCATCAGTTTGCCATCATTTACATTTCCTGGCTTCTTTTCTGCAACCATGAGGGTTAGAAATCATTTTTTGAAAACTGAAAGATGAGAATTGCAAGTCCGCATGCCTCTGGTTGCTGAGGCTTTTGTACTTGCAGTATCTTAGTAACTACAGTACTCTCAAATATCGAAATAAAAGAAAGCAATGATCCTCTGCAATATATTAAGGAGCCTTCTGGAAGTAAGGAAGGCTCAGGACTTGCTGATTTTTGTTCATGAGCAATGGCATGTCAAAGAGCAAAGTGAGCCTGGTAAGGATTGACTGCATTTAAAAGCACATGGAGAAATGCACACAGACAAAAATCGCTATGGAAAATGCACTGCCTAACCGCGCATGAATGAACCCAGCAGCTCAGGCACTTTGCTGAGCTCCGGCAGGAAGAGGGACAGACTGCAAGGGACATTCCTGGGTGCCCAACCAGGATAAAGAGTGGGGCTGCTGCCTGAACAGATGGGCCAGGGCAGGAGGCAAAGGACCATCCTGACGCCCTGCACCCCCATACTCGTGCACGTGGGTGGAGGCGAGAGGGTGTGCTCGGCTCCCGGAGCCACCACAAGCAGAAGGGCAGTAGCACCAGGCTTGCACAGGAAACATTCCCCGTTGTGTCCCAAAGCAAAGAGCAATAAAACAAAACTGCTAATGAGGATGCGACCTGACCCTCTGCAGAGTACCAAGGACTGTGTGTCTGCCTGTATTTAAGGGGAAGGGAAGGACCGTGTCAGCGGAAACGTCAAGCTCAAGGGGATTTTTTTAAAAGAACAACAAAAAAATTGTTCAGATATTTTGCTGGTAATAAAAGTTACTCGCAAAGTAACAGAGAGCAAACACTGCTTTGAAGGAAAGAGAAGGCTGTTAAACAAAGAACCTCACCCTGCAGAAAGAATTCCTTTTTAACACTAATGTTAACAACGCATTTTTTCTAAGAAATCCCAGTGAATCTTCCCTTAAGACTCTTCAGCTCCAGACAGGATGCCTCTCTTTTTAATTCTCTGCCTGTTGACCTACTCTGCTGATCCTTCTTTCCAGGAAAGAAACAAACATTTACTCATATTTTTCACTTTTCTTTACTAGGCTGTTTATCACACTGTTACACAAACCGTTCTCAGACCCCTTAGAGCCTGTGCAGGCAAAACATCTAGATTTTCATATTGTACAACAGGAGACCAGCAGCTCCAGGAAACTAAAGAACCCATGAGGAACCCATTCATGTCAACATTCACAACCTTATGTCTGTTACTTTAAAAGGCAAGAAACAACATGTAATACAGAAGCCACTTCTAAGGAAAATAAAGGAACGTATCTAATGTAGTGAAAGGTAACCTGTCATTCTGACACCTTCCTGGGTTTGGGGGAGCGAAATTAACAGTAACAGTTATCAAGGAAGACGTGATGGCACAAGGCAGCTGGGTTATTGAAGTATATCGTTGGCAGCTATTTCAGTTAGGAGCGTAATGGTAAACATAGGTAGTGCTCTGCAAAGAAACCATGACGGTGAAGAGTAATCCAGGATGTAAGAAGTCTGAGAACTGATGATGTAGGGACAGTATCAGAGAAACATAAGTGATACTGTATGGAGTATTGAAACCAAAAGATTTTGCAAGCAGTTAAACGTGGGCTTATAACTTAAGTATCAGCACCATTCCACTGAAGCTAATAGACATGAAGACAGTACTCGAACACCTTGGAATTATGTCTACTTTCACAAGTTTCTGGAGGAACGTCACCACTAGTACTCCTGCTTTAAAAAAGGAGCAGACGCACAGGGATGTCAAGTAACACACAACAGAGTAGCTCAGAGATCTTCAAGCTGATCATTATCTGAGGTTATAAATGCATACGGGGCAGCACTCTCTCTGAGCAATGTCCTTTGGAATCAAGCCACTCCAGCAAAAGTGGTGAGCGCATCGTGGGCCCATCTGCCCTGTTGGGCATTTCTGTGTGAACAGAGCTCTCCTGATCCCCAAGCCGAGCTCCTGAGTAGCATCTCTGCCTTGCACTGCATCTGGTGCTTCTTGCTGTGAAGCCAGTGCGTTTAGAGCCAGGTCAGAGTCACTGCATCAGCCAGCACAGGCAAGCTACAGTAGTGCAAGGGAACAGGAAAGCAGGAGTGCACCTCACCCGCTCAAAAGTAAGTTACTCCCCTTCGCTATTGTCCACTGGAGTAAGCTGAGGGGCATTTCCTTCCCAGGAGCGTTCCTGGACTAGCAAAGGCAAAACCACTTGCTGCAGCAGGTATCTAGGCCTTAATAAAAAATCGTAATGAAATCCAGGTCCAGCTGCTCAACACCAGTGCTGCTAGCAGGACATATTTTTCCTATTTATTTTCTCACTCAGGTTTCGCCTGTAAAATGGTAACACTAAAGCAATCTCAGCCTGTTAAATCCTTACTTCAGCTAGCATATTCACAAAGAACGTTTTCCCATAAAGAAGTCCACAACTTTGACTTGCCGTTGTTAACACCAAAGCACCCCGAAATGTGTTTTCCTGCAACACTGCGCTCAACTGTTCCAGGTACCTTAGCGAGACCAGGTCTGTGGCACATCACAACCCCAAAAGCTTCCCACCTAAGACTACGAATGGAATAAGCAATCCATCACACGCTATGACATGTTCCCCAAAACACACACACACTCAAAACCTTAAAGTGGTGTCAGAATGTTTATTGAAGAGGGCAATCTAACTGGCTGAACCAACCTGGGTACTTGGGAAGTTTTAACATAAGCAAACAGAGATACTGTAAACTTGCTGTGCACAGAAACTGTGTTTATACTTAAATTGGACTTGGTAGACTGAAATAATTTAATAGAAAAATACAGCTTAAGTTCCCAGGAGCTCTGGATGACCTCAAGATCATTCTGAAAAAACAGAAATATAGGGACATATCCAGCGATGCAAACAGTTACACAAATATTTTCAGAAAGTCAGGTAATAAAATACATATAGTTGCCTATTTGTTATGATAGCTTTGCAAATACACTTTTAAAAACACTTTTCAGTCCCACCATTTTTTTTGTCACTTGTGTTATCAGAATTGATGGTAAGCGCTCTACAATGTTTACTTCTTAGCAAGTTTTGTAATTGCTGGATCTGTTCTTTTTAGCCATACTGCTAAGGTTCTTACTGCCACATGACAAGGGAATAAACTTTCTTGGTGATGCACTGGAAGCAGAAAGAGATGCAAGAAATTTCATGCGGTCGATCTATTGACAAAGTAATTTTATTTATATGGCAATTAAAATAGCTGTACATTGGAATATCTGCGTGAAAAGTGAACACAAATCAGAGGGATAATGATCACAACAAATTGTGAGCTCTGTTGCTCATGAATCTAGAAAATCATTATCGTGAATATTAAAACACCAAGGGGAGTCTAACCTAATGTTGCCTAATCATAATAAAAATCCTATGAAAATTAGGAAATTGTTAAATCTAGTAAGGATCTATTTAAAAAAAAATTAAAGGGGAGAGGTTAATTATTTTATAACTGTCGCTGTGAACAGCCAGATGAGTCTAACGAAGCTGCACTTGTTCTCTGCCACGGGCTTGGTGCGTGGCCACGACTGGAAGCGGGCCCTGAGAGGGGCGGTTGGAGAGGCACCAAATAACGCGTTGCAGTTCCCAATGAATCTGCATTCGCACCTGCATTTTCCACGCCGCTCGTACAGCTCCCGTTTCGACCTGAAAACGCCATGCAGGCGGACGTAAGGGACTGTGCTTTCATCAGCAGGGTCTTCACCCTGCAAAACCCTAGGTACGCCCAGGATCGGGACGACCTGTGGCAAAACTCAGCACTTAGAGGAGTGAAGGGGACAAGGCCCCTCTGCGCTTCTACCGCGTCCCCGTTTTGGGGGTGAAACCCAGCATTTCGGCTCTCCTCAGAGGGAAGGGGGCAGGAGGGCTCCGCAGCTCCCTCCTGTCACCGCTCCGCGGGCCGGCCTGCCAGGCAAGGAGCTGCCCGGCTCCCCACTGCGCCGGGGGCCCGGCCCTGCGCTGCAGCCTC